TCCAAATACTAGTAAATAATTACATTACTTAAATAAAGAGTGACTTGATTCCAGAAGCAAATTTTTTTCCTCACTTTTTGGTCAGAAAGACTAAAATCACTATTTAACTAGAAAATAATGGTATATTACCTTTTTAAATGTCTTAGCTAGTAGGGAGAGGCAAATATTTGGTATATATATGCAAATAAAGCCCACAAATACAAGTGTAATTATAAAATTATTTTCAAATTATACATGTGGGCTTTTAGTAGGAGTAAGTAACCCACGATTAAAAGGAGACTGTATCTTATAGTTGCTAAGCATCGGGACTAGGAGCCGAGAAAATTAGGACATGTGTTAGTTGACGATAATCATTCATCAAAAGTAGCTAGTACTTGGTTAAAAATATCATTAAATAGGATAGAAGAAAGCACACATTTGCAGTGTGATAGATGGCTTGGTCTCTTTACTATGGCTCTTATGTTCCAACTTTGCCAATTATCAAAAAAAGACAGGTGATTTACTGAGGAATTTGGACGTTAGAATTAACCGTAAAAAGGAAAAAACATTTTTCCTGGTAATGCCTTCTTTCCCGGTAGTTAATCTTTTCTCTGAATCAGGCCGTTTCAAGATTTTGTGTCTATGTGGTAATGTATGTGTGACAGTGGCCTCACCAAGTATACTAAAGAAATTGCCTCAAAATAAGACAACCTGCAAAAGTAGGTAAATTTACAAATTAGAATTGGCCAAACTCAAGGAATACAAAAAATACCAGCTATGCTAGTCTAAGAAAAAACGCCTCGTGGGATATGAAGAATACACAAAGTAGTGGAATAATATGAAGTAAATAGTAATCAAAAACCCTGAATAGAAAGACCGAGTGTAGGAAGTTTGGCAAAAGCTAATTGTAGCTGTTGAATAAAGTTATAAAAGTAGAAGGAAGTAAAACGTACAGCCAAGCAAAAGGATTATACTTCTTCAACCTTACATAATTCTATAACATTGAATATGCACAATACAACTAATAACAAGTAGGATCAATATTTTACGTGATGAGGATATGAATGCATCTGTTCAGTCACAACCACGTCCAATTTACGCCTCAGTTGTAGTCACTTCGCTTATTTGTAAACATGTATAGAAAGCATGAAATGGCCAATCAAATCATGACATACCTCAGTAAGTGAACAGTGCTAAGCTATTAAAAGTAGATAGGAATGCAACTTGATATCTTTTTTGCTTTAATGTTTAGAGAACTTTCATAAAGCAGGGTATTATCCCTGTACGGTATCTAACACATGGCAGATGAAAGTTAAACGAAGATTCACTGAGGTCACGGGATGGTGCGCCAAGACCTCATTGGCACAATTTTATACTCAAGGCTCAAAGGTAATTCTCTAACTTCCAAGAATCCTTTAATTTCCGATTAAATGAATAGAATAACATAAATGGTCTATTCTAGACCCAGCTTCTGTTCATATCTTGAATAGACTTTGAATGGTGTATATAATATGAGACTAACTGACGCTGTATATTAGAGTGCTAATATATGACCAGTTACTATGAAATAGGTGGTATTGAGTCTATTTATGAGGCTGAGAATATCTAGGTGAGTTAAGAACTGCAGACCACCCCGAATAGGAAGGACTTTGGAAAGAATGGCATCATAAGATAAAAACATTCGTTGTGAGGAAATAAAACTGTATCTCCTAATTCGTCTTATGTGATCAAATGTAAGTAACGATATGCATCGTAAATTTATTTTACATTTAAAATAATTTATTAATCAAATATATTTTTTCTTCCTTTTAAGGTGCATTAGTATAAGTTTAATTGATAACTTGCTTTAAGTTAGTCAAATATGTATAAAAAGAGGTAGATTCTTAATGATACTCTTTTTATAAATTATAAATCCTTAAATTCAATTCTTCTCCTTATATCCTATAAAATTGTTTTAGAAATATTAGAATATATTTTAAGCTAATTCAGCTATAAGTAAAAATGTGTAAATCTAAATTTCTATTAAGATGGCATATTTACAATGAGTAAATGAAACTAATTTCTTTAGCATGAAACTATTATAAAGGCTAGAATGATTAAAGTAATTGAATTGCATATATATTAGTGTTTTATCTTTTTAAAAATTAATTTAATGCTCTTAAGTAAAAAAGCATATTAAATTATTGTGTTTTATTTACTTGAAGTTCTTCATCCGTTAGATTTTCACACAAAATATTTGCAACTCTCTTTAAATTTTTGAATGAAATACGACCATTTCCTTCTTCGTCAAAAAGTCTGAATGCTTTGAGTAAATCTTCTTTAGAATCTTTTTCCGAAATTTTTTTGGTCATCAGCGACAAGAATCCATTGAAATCAATTATGCCTAACGAAAAATTATCATTGAATTTATACCTGTGCTATCTTTATCGTACTCGGCTATTAGTTTTCGC